TCTGTTTCATGTTTTATCAATTCCTGATCCACTAAATTTAAAATGAAAAATTAAAAAGCACTAGATTACATTAAACCATCTCCCATCTCAATTTATTCAGGCTTCCTAGGCCATTAAGACCCTAAACACAGAGGTTAGAGAGATGGCTCAATGGATAAGAACACCAGGACCTACATCAGGCAGCACACAACCACCTGTAACTTCAGATCCAGAGGATGCAACGCCCTCTTCTGACCTAAGTGTTCACATATAGACATATATGTACACACACACACACACACACACACACACACACACACACACACACACACACTCACACACACACACACACACAAATTTTGGGTTTGTTTGTGTTTTTTTTTTTTTTCATCTTTACAAAAGACCCTAGACACGATCTTTAGCCAACTTCACTGGGCAGATTCCTATGAAAGACACCAAAGGGCATCCCCATGTACCATCTTTGTATGAACAACACTTTCCAGCTCCCAAATCATTACCTTATCTGACCTACCCTCCCCACAAAAAAATAAAGAGAATAAAAGTTCATGAGCAAGACAAATGAGACTGTAGCTCCACGAAGACAAGACTCCTCGAGTAATACATGTGAAAAATACTAGTGCTGGGATCAAAGCCTCATAATACAACACTAGCCTGGAAGTTCTTCTCATCATGCACTCTTTCCACGTGTCTCACACTGTAGAGCACCATGCGGCATTAGCCTCTGAGCAAGTTCAAGAGGCTCATCAGAGATTTAAGGTGGGCATGAAGTGCAGAGACAAGAATCTACTGTCAACAATGATCAGTTTCGCCGGGGTGGTGGTGGCGCACGCCTTTAATCCCAGCACTCGGGAGGCAGAGGCAGGGGCAGGCGGATCTCTGTGAGTTCGAGGCCAGCCTGGTCTACAGAGCGAGATCCAAGAAAGGCACCAAAGCTACACAGAGAAACTCTGTCTCAAAAAAAAAAAACTTAGTTTCTAAAAAAGCCATGGGAGCTCAAAAGTGTTGTGTTAGTCTAAACTCAACTTTACAACATCTTTCCTTGTACATTCATCTTCCAGGCCAGGACATCACTCGAAGCCAACCTTCCCCTGTGTTTACAAGCCAAAGTGAAAGTCCAGCTAGCAAGTACACAATTTGTCAAATGAGACAGGATTCTGCATCGCTTGAGAAACTACAGAAACTTGGAAATACTCAATGGTTCCACATAAAATACTAAGAACAGAAAATAAAATTCAGAATGGACATCAAAATAAGAGAATTGTTTATAAGCAAATTATTTATGAAGCATGCAGCCTTGATTATAATATATGCAAATATATGCAAATATAGTGACTAAAAGGAACAGCTTAAAGTCCCTCAGTTTCACCATCAGGTCATTGGAGTTTCAGTGACTATTACTGGATAGTTATCTAAACATCTTTGTTAAGCTATGTTATTTTGAAAGAAATCAAACAGAATTGAATTGAAATTCCTTAGACTCATGTCAGCCCAAATACTTACCTCTGGTTCAAGTTAGAATGACCTGGGTAACACCTCAAAATACCAACTCCCATTTTCCACCTTTGGGTATTTTGATTTAATTGGTCTAGAAGTCCTTAAGGTCTACCTGGCATCCCAAATTACTCCTGAACAAGTCTACCAAAACATCATCTTATCCGCTGTAAGGACACACACTGAGGTTTTGAACCCAGTCGCTGAGTTCAGAGCAACTCTGGGATTCTGGGAATATTGGGCACATTCATGGTCTGGGTAATCCTTGTCGGCAAAGAGTCAACTGATTCATATGCTGCACAGCTTTCAGCAGGCCAGGCACATAAAGAATCTAGTGTGCCTGTATTGCAGACAAGTCCACATTGATGTGAGCTAGCTCACATTAGTATGTTGTGGCCGCCCACTTTCAGTCAGGGCTTGCTTTGGCGTGTGTGTTTGAGGTGGTCTAAAGTACCTGAAGGTGCGTCTTCCAAAGGAAGTTGAGATGGATGCCTGAGTTAAAGCTAAATTTATGTGGCGTGGCAATGATAGATGGGAGGCATTCTGTCTTCATTAGAACATCTGTTTAAAATGCTATAATGTGGAAAGTTTGGAACTAAATTCCATTTGGAGATGCAGATCCAAATGGCTTCCATTTCCGGAAGTGACGGTGTAAGAAGAGAAGAAAATAACACAGAAAGGCTAGGGGGGAGAGAGAACGGTGAGACTTCTCTGGTCGACGCTTTGTTCTTGGACAGGAAGACGGTTGAGCCTAAGATTCTGGAAAGACCTTCTCAACATCTCTTACTTTTGAGGTTTATAAAAGCCCCTGGATCTTAAGCAGAAACAGAGGTGGGGGGTTCCACATGCTAGCCTCCCACTTCAGGGACACTGCCACCTTCGTGACTACAAGCGCAGAACAGGCCACGTGAAATAGAAAATGGAGGGAGACGCACCTGCCAGTGAGATGATGTCCCTGGGCCTAGAACCTGTCCTCAGCTAGCTATGACACTCCTGCTGATTAAATCCTTCTCATTCAGAGACGGTACAGAGCCCAGAGATGCTTAAAGCAACCTATTGACCTTCCTCCTGCTCCACCTTGGATGAGGAACCATGGACAAACCAGACCACAAAGGAAATTTTCAGAGAGTAAATATGGACTATTTCTCCATGAGGCAGGATTGTTTCCATTAAAAGATGGGCATGAAGGGCTGGGGAGATGGCTCGGTGAGTAAAGTATTTACCACACAAACATGAGAACCTGAGTTCAGTCTCCTGAAATCCACGTAAAAATGCCAGCTGAAAGCACATACTTGCAATCTAACAATACAGGGACAGAGATAGAAGAGTCTCTGAAACCCTGGGGCCAGCCAGTCTATCCTACTCAGTGAGCACTGGGCCCATGAAAGATCCCATGTCAAAAAACAGGGGGAATGACACCCAAGGCTGACCTCCGGTCTCCACATCCATGTGCACACCTGTGCATGCGCACCTGTGCATGTGCTCTCTCTCTCTCTCTCTCTCTCTCTCTCTCTCTCTCTCTCTCTCTCTCTCTCTTTCTCTCTTTCTCTCTCTCTCTCTCTCTCTCTCACACACACACACACACACACACACACACACACACACACACACACGAAGATGGGAACGAAGAAAGAGTCCCCTCATTTCAGAGCTTCACACACAGTCCCATCCAAGTACCCTCCCACAAGTCTGCCCCAACGCCAGGCTCAGCGTGACCAGAGCTGCTCCCCAGTACATTCGGTGACATTTCATACAACTGTAAGAGCTGACATAAGGAAGACCGTCATAGCCCTTAGGATGCTTTCGGGTACATGTCTCTTCTATCAGTGAAACTCGAGAGCACTCTTATTTCCACGCAGAAAACACAGAAGCCGGAGTGCAGAAAGCAGTTCAAGGTAAAGCCAGAACCTAACCTGGGTCCACCAACTTGAAAAGTCAAACATAACAAAGCTAAACAGACATCTAATACCTGGAAAGTAAACCCACAACTGACACCCAGGTGAGTGTTTCTCTAAGCGCAGGTTCCAAACTTTTCCCTTAGCCTGACACCGGCACCTCCTGGTCACCCAGGGAACCATGGAATTTGACTCCAAAAGTAAGCAAGTCCACATGTGGAGGGGGTGATGGGAGAACTGCCCCACAGTGATTGAGAGCCGGATGTTAACAACTTTGAAGCGCATTCGTTGTGTTTTCTTGAATAGTTCTTTTCACCCCTCTATGTCTTAAAATCCTTTCCCGTGAGAGGGGAATAATCCTTACAGAATTGAGGAGACTCAATAAAGTAACAGGGAAATCTCTCGAGTGTGGAGGATGGTCAGAGCGAGGGCTCAGATGTTAGATTTGTTTCATTTTACACACACACACACACACACACACACACACACACCAAGGGCCACTAGCTGAACCACTACTAACTACCATCTTCTCTGTTGCTGATACCATCCTCAGGATGATGCTCCCCTATTGTTTCTTCCAAATCTTAAAAATAAGCCGGAGGGAGAGATGTGGATTGCAACAGGCACCCACGCCACCAGCTGAGTGCATTTTTCCGTTCCGCTTCTAATGTGCTGTGAGAGCCTGAACAAGTCAGCCCTCTGCTATCATTTTTGAAATTTGTTTAATGAGAGGGTCAGAAGAGACGGCGATCGCGGAGACCCTTCCTCCTGCCCCTAGGAAGGATGCCGAAAGCTGAGCGGTTAAAATGGTGCTAAAGCCGCCACTGACTTGAGCATTCCCAAGCCTCCTCAAATGGCTGGCCTGAGTATGTCTGCCACTCTAAGGGAACGCTCTCCCTTAGATGGGCCTCTTGAACCCCGGCCAGGACTCTGGGTCCCAACTGGAAACAGCCCCAAGTGCTCTGATAACAAAAGGAAAAAGCACCTAGCACCGGAGAGGATGAGAGACCGGGAAACGATTGCTTCTCTTGTTCATGCCACCCACTGCAAAGCCTCCAGGCAGCTGGCCTTCCCGCCCAGCCATCCAAGCCCAAAGGTGAAGCCACCCCTCATCCAAAGCTCTCACCCACAGTTGCCCTTCCCACAATTAAATCACAAAAGATGCTAGGTCGTGTTCTCACCAAAACTCAGGCCCTTCGAACACCACCACTCAGTGCCTGAAAACACAGCTCCTGGCCCTCCTCTCTCCAGCAGCCCAACTCTGCGATCGGCCTGTCTTGCCTGCCAACATTTCCAACTCTGCTAAAGCTGTTTATTGTACCTTGCAGCTGCTATGGAGTCATGTACTTCCGTCGCCCTTCTTTGGTTCTTGGCGCTTGTTCTTCCCTCCCTGACACAAATCCAGACCCCAAAACGTGAGATCTGCCTGGGTCCTGCGTCTGTGGAGCCTGGCTCCCGACCTTCCTCCCTGATTCAAACTGTCCTGTCCGCTGCCGTCTTTAAAACTTTTCCTGACACACCAAGAGAAGTACACTCTGAGCTTTCGTTTTTGAAAAAGAAAATGAAGAGAGGGAGACATAAAAGGGAGAGAAAGAGAGCCATCACATCACTTACTTCCATCCAGGGACGCCCAGTTTTGAAAAGAAGAAAACGGTTCTAGTCCAGTGTGGTCCCCCAACCCCAAAAGAAGAATTCGCTGTGAACCACTTCTTTCCCACTTTGCCGGTGAAGGAGCCCCGTGGTAGGCATACATCCACAGGCTGATGCAAGATGCCTTTGAGAGAAACCTCACATTCTGAGGATTCCTGGGCCTGCGCCAAGGATCCCAGCATCCAATATATTGCACATTTGCTTTCAATTAGGAAGGGGGTTGGGGAGGGAAGAAGGCAAGTCACCAATCAGAGCTGTTTTCTGTTTAGAGACTATTTCTTTTGACCCAGGGGACCACGAGCAAAGCTATAATTTACAGCGAAACCCATTCATAGAAGAAAAATATGTGTAACCATAGGACAGACTTAAAGACGCAGCTCCCTTCTGCCTTCTCCCGACTCGTGCCTCCCTGTGCCGTTCCCCTCCGTCTAAGACTGGGTCCCCATCATGGGATACTCCCCCACCTCATTTTTCTTACTTGAGCTGAAGCTATAACGGCTTCAGGTTCGGAGTCTCTTCCGATTCACGTCTCCTGGGCAGCTGAGTCACATGCATGGAGATAATCTTTTGTATTTTGGCCATGAGAACTCAGAGCTGAGTCCCCCTCGAAGAAAAGGTTTGATTTAATCCCTCCCCCCCCACACACACACACTGCCTCCTCTTCCAAAAAAGAAAGAAAGGAAGGAAGGAAGGAAGGGAGGAAGGGAGGAAGGGAGGAAGGGAGAAAGAAAGAAAGAAAGAAAGAAAGAAAGAAAGAAAGAAAGAAAGGAAGGAAGGAAGGAAGGAAGGAAGGAAGGAAGGAAGGAAGGAAGGAAGGAAGGAAGGAAGGAAGGAAGGAAGAGGAGAGAAAAGAAAAAAAGAGGAAGAAGAACCAGAAGAACCTGAATGGTTCTAGCATCCAGGATTTCTCTCTAAAAAAAAAAAAAAAAAAATTCAATCTTCAATTGGCTACTGCTGAGATTCCTGCTGTTAAATGAAAACTCAAAGATTTACAAACTTTCTAAATGTTTTTTTTTCTCACCCCCACCCCCAACCTCTTTTCTGTGGCCAGAGTGAAAGAGACATCATGTGGAAGTGGTATGTAGGTGTCATGGGAGGGACCCTTGCTGGACTCTCAAATAACTAAGAGTCCTGTCTATCCACCCAGGTTCTGGCCTTAACTCCTCAGAGCCTGGGTCACTCTTGAAGAAGCCTAGGACCTTAGGATCTTGATTTTCTGTGTGTATAGTGACCACTGGGTGAGCAGAGCCATGGAAGGAAGCAGATGGACACAGGTAAGTTCAGAAGACTTAGCCTCCCTTTGAGAGCTAGCCCCTTCATAGTGACACCTCTTCTTGTGGGTTTCTGAGCAAGGGCCAACTCTTCCCTGCCCTCATTGGAGTAGACAGAGGAGAGGTAAGGCTCCCGGGGAAAGGGTACGGTATACCTCAGTGAGTGCGGGGCTTGGCTGGTGACCCACAGAAAGCCCCATGGGCTGTATAAAATTAAGATTCATACTGTCAGTGGTGAGGCACTCACTCAAGGCTTGTGAGCCCAGCACGGGCCCGAGAGTCAGAAAGCAGCTGTGGAAGCCATGTTCCACAGTGGGAGAGGACACAGAGAATGAGCAGGCTGTGCCAAGGCCCACCACACAGACAGCAACAGACAGAAAAGTACGACCGGCGGGAAGAAAGTTAGAGTTAAGGTTCTTTTACAGAGATAAGGACAGAGCAGAGATGAATCTCTTAAGAGGACCCTTCCAACAATGTAGAGCATGTGACATCAGGTGGGAGGCAAGACATTTAGTTCAGCTTGATAAATACTTACCAAAACCATTGGTCAGACGCTTCACTGGGTGCTTGCCAGAGGTATTCACGGACATCTGGCTGAAGACACATGCTTGGACTCTGCCTCCCCACGTCTATGAACTATGTTTGGTGACATCACAAGTTAAAGCCGAGAAGCGGTGGAACAGCTTTGCAAAGACCAAGCCTAATAAAAGACAGGTATGTATGGATGTGTGTCCGCAGATATCAACATTCACAGGATGCTACTACAGGGGCCAGACTGTTGGCATATGTGTGCGTATAATTACTCTTAAGCCAGCATTGTTGACTTCAAAACCCAGATCCCCTATCTGTGCCTGAGGATGGAAGACCAGCCCCATCAGGGGTTTATTTGTGTTCAGACCAAGGACACTTCTGGGGAAGAGTGAACAGGGCAGAGAGAACCAAGAGGTTTTGAAAGGTGCAACTTAGGATCTGAAGAAATGGGCCAATAGGCCAAGTGCTTGCCACACAAGCATGAAGACTGAGTTTACATCTCTACGTCCATGTAAAAAAAACAAACAAATCTGTAACTGCCCATAATCATTGCAGTGAAGCCAATGGACCCAGAAGGAACTCTGAGGCTTAGTGCCAAACTTAGCCAAATCAGCAAGCCCTGGGTTTAGTGAGAGACCATAACCCAGGGGGAAAAAAGTGAAGAGCTATTGAGAAAGAAACAAGACATCAACCTCTGGCCTCCATACCCACTAGCCTACACATGCAAACACACACACTCTCTCTCACACACACAGAGAGGCATTCACACACACCCATGCACATGTATGAATACACACACACACACACACACACACACACACACACACACACACACACACACACTGAGAAAATGCAAGTCCAGCTAAGTTTTGCCTAAGGTAAGGAGTACTCAGAAAAAAATGCTGTGTTTGTCGTTCAAACCATGACATCACCCCAAATTCCCTGTTGTTCAGGCTAATTTGAGCCACATCTCAGGTCTAATTGTGAACTCTAAGAAAGAGATACTACCAAAACAAGAGCAAGGAAAAGCTAAAAGTAATATTTCACGTAAGTGCTGTTTACAGCGTTAGGAGGAATTGTTTTTGAGATTCTTTTTTTTTTTTTTTTTTTTTTTTTTGGTTTTTCGAGACAGGGTTTCTCTGTGTAGCTTTGCGCCTTTCCTGGGACTCACTTGGTAGCCCAGGCTGGCCTTGAACTCACAGAGATCCGCCTGGCTCTGCCTCCCGAGTGCTGGGATTAAAGGCGTGCGCCACCACCGCCCGGCGAGATTCTTTTTTTAATGAGTGTTTTGCCTGCATGTATGCCTCTGAAACACATGTGTGCCTGGGACCCTGGGGCATCAGAAGATGATGCTTGATCCCCTGGAACTGTGAACCACCATATGGGTGCTGGGAATTGAACCTGAGTCCTCTGGAAGAACAAGTGATCTAAACCACCAAACCAGCTCTCCAGTCCCAGAAGAATCAGACTTGAGCCTCAGTTTCCCATGATCTCTGGCGGAGCCAAGAGGGCTGAGCCCCTTTGTCATTTGGAGAGTCATTGCTGGGCTAGGAAGAAAGGAGGTAGCAAATGTTACTTAAGAGTTCAGAGCACCAACTCATGGAACACAAAAGAAAATTCCTGAGGACATTAGAACTGTTTGACAGTTTTGGGTAAGACTGGAATTCCTGATGCTGTGGGAACAGATGCGGAGAAGCACTGTTTTATTACTCTTTTGTGTGCAGATTTTACCCCCTGGCTTGTTTGGCTTGGGAAACATGAGTCATAGCAATCAGAATTATTTATATTCCAAAGAAGGTAATACATCTTAGTTAGGACTACTTTTTTTACACTGAAAATGAATTAACTGAGAAGCAATACACAATTCCATTAGCAGAGTCTTACTAAAAATAGAATCTCTCTATGTGGGATGGTGAGGATGCAGTGGTCCAGGTGGGGGCGAGACTCAGTGTAGAACACTTGCCTAAGTATGTGCAAGACCCTGGGTTCAATTCCCAACACACACATCCCCAAAAAAGCAGTACCAATTAAAGAAACATGCAAATGACCAAAGACTTCAAGAACTTGTTGTCTTAGTCTGTAGCCAAGATCGGAGTGAACACAAGTTCTGAGACGAAAATAACTGTCGTATCTCACCTGGAAATATGTAGGAGCTGGATGCCTGTGTGCTGCTTCAGGAAGTAAAGGATAGAAGTAAAGGAAAGTTAACGTGTCCTTAAAAGGATATGTGCGTTTTCACAGACCTTGTCTGCCAATGACCTAGTCCAGGATTTCTCTCTGCCTTCTTGTTTTCCCTTCTGCTTTCTGTGTACATTCGTTTCCTCCCCTCCCCTACCATGCAGCAAACCCGTTTTTGTGTGTGTGTGTGTGTGTGTGTGTGTGTGTGTGTGTGTGTGTGTGTGTGTGTGTTTATTTTCATACATATCTGAAGGTGGTAACCCTAAAGTAGTACCTTAGTCCTTAAATTTATGCCTCTTCACTCCAAGTCAACATGACAAGATGATTAGAGTATTTGAAGCCTGATTCCAGACCCTAGGGGTGCAGAATTTGCTTCAGTCAGGCATGCTTCACATGTTCATTTGATGTGTGACATCCTAGGATCCACATGTCCAAGGGTCCACACACACAGGTAAGTCAATTATCAGAAAACACAAGACATAGTAAGCAGACTGCCCAATTGTTCCTACACTAATAATTACTAAAGACTAACAATGCCTGGACTGTAAAAGCATTACACCTCCACAACATGAAATCAGAGAATATTGTGTATAGTAGAGTTGGGTGAGAGGGACCAAAGGAAATACTGCTTTTCTTAAAAGGCAGACTGCTCTAAATATCTAAACAGCTGCATAGACTTTTCGGTTTCCTCCTGGGTGTTTGCTCATGATTATCCAATCTTCACAGGCTTATGAACTATCTGTACATCCGTGTGCACCAAAGCATGTATACTGTCTTTCTACATCAAAGTCTTTCAAAGATCAATCTAGCTCTAAGATTGTTGCCTTTCTAGTCCAAGTCTTCACCCTGCATGCTAATAGACATTCTTCTCCCTCAGAAGGAATGATTGAAATTCAAACACCTAGAGGGCAGAATCCTTCACTGGTTATTAAATAAGGCGCACTATGAGCAGACAACTTGCAGGGTTGTGAGGACCTGACGGGATAATGAATTAAGTATTATACAATATATATAAAATATATAATACATAAAATAAAATGTGCTAAGTATTCACAATGTGCCAGGCACCCTGTTAAGAACCTTACATCTATCGCTTCATTTGATGCACACAAGAATTTCATTGGGAGGATACCCTGACATCCCCTGCATCCATAGAAGGAATGCACAGAGATACCAACTTGCCCAAGCCTGTGCCTTGTGGAGCCAGAATGC